CAGAGCGGGAGCGCTCGCAAATGGCAGCGGGCGCCTGGCGCAAGGCCGGTGTTCACCGCTGCGCAGGTGCTGTTGTTCGCCGTTCCTCACCGCGCACGTCACGGACTTCTCTGAGGGACGCTTTGCCGAAAAGCAATTCCGGTTTAAGCTGTAGCGCTTCGCTGCGTGGTTTACCAGAAATAGCTGAATTACTTACGCTGCAAACGCTGTTGTTTTTTCCAGATGCTAAAAGGATTGTTAATTATACATGATTGGTGACATCCTAGAAGCGAAACAATGCCAACTAAAAGATCCCATGGATTTGTTTCGTTCTGGGCAAGTTGTAAAAATATGTGCCCCTATGGTCCGCTATTCAAAGTAAGTAACTGTCATGTCAACTATGTTTTCAGTGTGTTTTCTCTGAGGAAGTTTATCTCGACTGGAAAAACCGGGACGATTACCTTGTTCTCCTTTAATTGTTTAAGACAGTGATGAACATGGGACATGTTTTATTTTATGATTATACTTGGACATCCCCACTGTACTGCATGTCAGAACAGCATTTTAGAATAGCTAATAAGAAAAACGTTTTTATTTATCTCTTTAATTTTTGTGTGTCTGCAGGTTGGCTTTCAGAACCTTGGTTAGGAAATACAGTTGCGATTTGTGTTACACACCAATGATAGTGGCAGCTGATTTTGTGAGATCTGCAAAAGCTAGAGACAGCGAATTCACAACAAACAAAGGTATTTTTTTAAATAAATCATTGCCTTGTCAGAATGTTTTATGTGGTGATAAGCCAAATTGGCCAAGTGAATGAAGTCTGTCACACAACTTGACATTGATTAATAATTTTGGTATACTGTATCTGATTGTAGAACCATAGAAATATTCTATGTGAGAGTAAGCACATTCCAGTGATAGTATGTCAAATGAAATAGTGGAAAACCTTGTCTGCATCTGAAATCAGGGCCTCCAAACTGATTTAGATGTGTGGTGGGTTGACCACATATAGCTAGCCAGCGGCTATGCACCCACACCGCGGCTCACTCATTCCTCCTCCACCACCACCACCCCAGCAGCATAGAGGTAGAACTGAAAGAGCAAAGGCAAGAAAAACTCTTGGGTCAAGATACAGACAGCTTAGTAAGTGAAGGGAAGAAGGAGAAAAAAACAAGTGATGCAAAGTCAGTCACTTCCCACCTCACACTAGCAGACCAGTGCCCAGCCAGTCTCCAAGCAACACCCACCCTGGAACACAATTTCCATTTCCCAACGCACTTTCTTCTTCCCTTACCACTCTGGTTTTATTGCTGAGCTTGATGTTGTACAGTATGGAGTATTCTTTGTGTCAGTTTGTGTCAGCTGTCCCAGCTGTGTCCACTCCCAGTTTCTTGCCCACCCCAATCTATCTGATGGGAGCAGGGGGAGACAGAGTGAGACAAAAGAGGAAGTTTTGACACTGCAAGTGCTGTGTAGCAATAACTAAAACAGTGGTGCATTATCAACACTGGTTTTGTCACAAAATCCAAAACACAGCACCCTACAGGCTGCTATAAATAAACTTTAAATGAATTTAAAAATTAACTCCATCCCAGCCAGACCCATACAAGCATAGGCTGCAACTGGAGGAATGAAGAGAGCCCTGCGAATGTGCTCGTAAGATCGGCATGTAGGATCTATGAAGCGTGATGATTTGATCTGTTCAGAGCACTGAACTGGTGGGTTTGTAAGTGTGTATGTAATAGCAGGCGAGATATGTTCAGTTACTTTCGCACTGGGTGTTTACTATGGCGTGGTGTTCAAATAGAACAGAGCAGTTACAGAGAACAGTCACACTGGGAAGCACAGGTAGACTCTTACTAGTGGCATTCAACGTTTCAAAGGCATGAATAATTATTTGTGCGTAAAAATAAATTAGTAGGAACACAACTGACAATATATACGGCTCAAAGCTCCACAGAGCCACAAGTTTGCCTCCTTTGAATTTACTTACACTTCTGATCTA